GAACACGGTACCGCTAGATCAAAGGAAGCCGCTGATGTCGGGGAGAAATCTGAAATGGCGTTGGAGTTCTGCTGCTGATGTTGGGGGTAGGCAATTTCATTTATTCTTAGGGGATATTGTGCTGGGCCCATGTTCACAAAACGATCTTAGCGCTACGACGACCGTAATTCTAGGCTAGAGAGCATCCATTTTATTTATACGTTGGGGTGAAAAGCATCTATGTTTTTTCCCAACTGCATCCCAAAAACTATATATTTACTGAGCGCCATCAAACAATCTATTCATTGTCACACAAAAATGAAGTTTGGGTATTTTCCACATGCTGGAATATTGAGAACAGTAATTTGTCTTCTCAACTCTGTTAATTGATTTCGGTATTGAAAACAATTCGAAGTAGTTCTGTATTAAAATAAACACCTATAGCTTGTCGTACAAGAAACATTATTTTGTTTTCATTTGTGCGTCCTCGAAAACCTTTTATTTAGAGCTTCGTTTCGGAAATAGGCCTACAAGTTTGGAAATTAAACCATAAATAATGCAATAAGTAGCAGTGTTGTGAGTGAGTTGGGTTTAACACCGCCTTTAGCAGTATTCCAGTTATATCACGGCGCGTCATCTTGATGTGGGAGGTCTTAGACATTTGCCACTTTGGTGAAACACACGAGCACGGGTGCGGTGCTGACAAACCTGGAAACATGATCGGGACGAACCGGGATTCGAACCCACAATCATTGGCGAGACAAAGGGAAACAACTCTGCACAGCGAATTTCAGCGCCTTGGGCGAAGTGACAAAGCACGTAACAAAACATACAACACGTCCCATTTTAATTCTGGAAACCCAAAAGTCCAGAAACTCTACGCTCTTTGCCCAGTCTCGGTTAAAGGTATTTACAAAATTAAACATGCCGTTTTCATGGGAACATACCAAGGAAGACAAAATGAAAAAAAAATTGTTTAAAAACTCAATATTTAGACTATGTCGCCCATGGGCCTGCCCATGGGCGAAGTTTGGCCCATGGGTAGGCCCATGGGCAGGCCCATGGGCGAGAATATGTTCCTTTACTTAAAACTCATGTTTTTGTTTCGCAAATACATTTAATGTATTCATTCAAGTATCATGACACAATATTTAACTCAGTTTAACTTAATTCAACGATTTTATAGCGATATTGAAATATTTGGCCCATGGGCGAGAAAAAGGTTTGGCCCATGGGCGAGAATATGTTCCTGTACTTAAAACTCATGATTTTGTTTCGCAAATACATTAAATGTATTTATTGAAGTATCATGACACAAAATTTAACTCATTTTAACTTAATTCAACGATTTTATAGCGATATTGAAATATTTCGCCCATGGGCGAGAATATGTTCCTGTACTTAAAACTCATGATTTTGTTTCGCAAATACATTAAATGTATTTATTGAAGTATCATGACACAAAATTTAACTCATTTTAACTTAATTCAACGATTTTATAGCGATATTGAAATATTTCGCCCATGGGCGAGAAAAAGGTTTGGCCCATGGGTAGGCCCATGGGCAGGCCCATGGGCGAGAATATGTTCCTTTACTTAAAACTCATGTTTTTGTTTCGCAAATACATTTAATGTATTCATTTAAGTATCATGACACAAAATTTAACTCTTTTTAACTTAATTCAACGATTTTATAGCGATATTGAAATATTTCGCCCATGGGCGAGAAAAAGGTTTGGCCCATGGGCGAGTATATGTTCCTGTACTTAAAACTCATGATTTTGTTTCGCAAATACATTAAATGTATTTATTGAAGTATCATGACACAAAATTTAACTCATTTTAACTTAATTCAACGATTTATAGCGATATTGAAATATTTCGCCCATGGGCGAGAAAAAGGTTTGGCCCATGGGTAGGCCCATGGGCAGGCCCATGGGCGAGAATATGTTCCTTTACTTAAAACTCATGTTTTTGTTTCGCGAATTCATTAAATGTATTTATTTAAGTATCATGACACAAAATTTAACTCATTTTAACTTAATTCAACGATTTTATAACGATATTGAAATATTTCGCCCATGGGCGAGAAAAGGGTTTGGCCCATGGGCGAGAATATTTTCCTTTACTTAAAACTTATGTTTTTGTTTCGTAAATACATGCAGGAGTTCTAACTATTTTCATGGCACATAATGTAACACAATTTTACTCAATTCAGCTATTTTACAGATTTATTGAAATATTTCGCCCATGGGCGAGAAAAGGTTTTGCCTTCGAAATTCTTGATTATTATATCATGCCAGAGCTCTGAAATTCAGTGACAATACTGTTGAACAGTAGAATCTGATTGACGTATTTTGCAGAACCTGTTTGACACTATGGGTTCCAGGACCACTAACACTCTGAGCTGAAAAAGTTTGGTCCTAACCGCACCCAACATCTTTAATGAACCCGGCCTTATCTCTCAAAACGTTTTGGCAGTTTATCATACGAATTCATGTGCGTGTACAACATTAAATTTTAGTTAGTTTCTATTTCATTTCCCATTTTATGACCCGTTGATACATCACACTGGGCAATTACGTGACAGGTACGCGTGCGCGTATTTTAATGGAAAGATACTATTCGTCTTTTATTGCATAACGTTTGGCTGAATATCTTACATTCTAACGAAATCTCGAAATAATTATTTAATTACAAGCAGTGTCGAACTGACCAGTAGGAATTATGTTTCAATGCGATTGAGGGAAACGTGAGTGAATATTGTGACACTAAAGCAACTTTTAACTGCATTGTCACTTTTGGTATGAAAATGGTAATAGTTAAGAAAAACGTAACAGCCTTCTTATGATAATTCTCATATTCTCATTAGTACGTTGTGTCTAATTACAGTGTCGGCCTTATTTACAGGTGATTCTACAATACTTGTTGTCGGTCAATTACAATCTGCCACACCACGCGTGAATAAACAGTTATGCAGGTGTTGCTGTGGGCAAATACCTAGCCTGTACATGTATATTTTTGTGGATACATGTATTACATATTTTCGTTGATATGTGGATATATTAAACACCAAGACACAAAAAGTTTATGAAAGATGAATTTGTGCCTTAATATATATATTCAACGCGAACGAAGCTTGTATTTTCTCCGCGATCCTGATGTGTATCATCGTTTAATTGGTCATTCATTAAAAGTATGTTGTGAGGCGATATCAAAGGAGCCGTTCAATATACGCAGTGTCGTCCGTTTCGCGTGAACTACCACCCTACCCTGTCAGTAAGAGTTATGTAATCGGTACACAAATATATTTGGTGCGATGTCAGTGTGGAAGGAGTTTGAATTACGTCCGCCAGTGGCCACAGAAAGTATAGTACCAATCAACAAGGCCAATGCCGTACTAATAACCTAGTGACTCGCGTAACAACGGCTGTCAATATGTCTGCTACATCTACCATACCATCATCCCTGTCACAACTGGCGTATTAACGGCTTATTCAAAATATTAATTGTAGAAATGTCGTTACCAGACTAACGTACGTCGTATTCAGTCCTCAACTGGATGTTACATTCCTTATATCAGTTAACAGCCCTGTTTGTGAAAATATTTACTAGACATAAGATTTAAAGACTAATAAAATCAATTGTAAGACCGCATAGACCATAAAACCGAATAAAATATGTCTTGGTATCATCTCTTGTGTATTAGATGATGGCAATGACCGGAAATATTATAACGTTAGATTAAGAAGGAGAAACATTAAAGTGTTTTACAATACTTGGAAACATGAGCAATAAGATGTAGCAACATAAACATGCATGGAATAGGGAAAAAGGATGAAAACAAATTGAAAAGGATTTTAATATAAAATTATCGAACTAAATAACTTGCCTGAACAGAAAGGGTACCCAAACTTGTTTGACAGTTATTCGTGTGTTGTAGACTGTCGAATGGGACACATGTGTGTACGTAGGGTAGGCATATCTATTGCAAGTTTTAGTACTCATACACTTTCTCTTTTTGTGTTTTGTTTGTTTGTTAGTTGTATAACGCCACACTTAGCAATATTTCAGCTGTATGACGGCGGTCTGTAAATAATCGAGTCTGGACCAGACAATCCAGTGATTGACATCATGTGCATCGATCCACGCAATTGGGATACGATGACATGCATCAACCAAGTCAGCGAGCCTGACCACCCGATCCCGGTAGTCGCTTCTTACGACAAGCGCTGTCGCCCTTTTACGCCAAGAATGGTTTGTTGAAGATCTTCACGGGTCTATTGAATGCAGGGATTTGTGTAAAGTCATTCAGACAGCATACAATGCCAACTAAAAAATTACACTCAGTGTCTCCGCAAAGTAATATAGTACGGTACTTAGAGTACATGTGAGATTATACTCAGATTAGGGAGATGTTTTATCCGTATAACGTGTTATTATTCTACCTAACAATGTATTTAATGAAATGAATGCAAAACAAACTCAACGGCTAAAAGGTTTCATTGAAAAAACTACCCGTAGTCTTGACTAATAAAACAACTGCAACCCGACACAGATTAAACGCACTTACAAACACAATCATAATCTTGTTAGTCTGTATCACTCAACGAGGCCGCTTACTTTGCCCACAGTATGAAAGTATTGGGCAGTTCAGTAATTAGGAGCCAAAACCAGGCAGGTACGCTGGTCACACTTGACTGGTCTGACTGATGATTAGGTCGTCTGACAATTGTGAGTGAACCATAGCAAGAAGTATCTGCGAAACGGTGTCCTCCCATTAGTTAGACGTCCCAATAGTTAGACAGCTTATAACAACACTTTAAACGGTTGAGTGCACACTAATCCTTATGCTTGTTACCTCAGACTTTAAAATGGAATAGTCCAGATTAGATCTGACAAACAAAGGAAAGCAGCTTTAAATAGATACTTTAATATTATACTTAACATTTAATGACACTTTACATTTGATAAATTTTATACAGTTTGTAACAACACTTTGTGACAGTTTTTGGTAATGTACACTTTACATTTAATAACTTTTACAGTTTATTTATCCCAGACGAAGCAAGTGTGCTATGTGACAGAGGTCTGTTGAATCGCTCTTGAACTTCTGTCTTCAGTTGTCGAAAAAGCCGGCCATAGGTTGTTGCTTGGCGATCTGGCAAAAGGGCGAACACAAGAGGGAAGGTGTTGGGACCAACTCTGGCATGAATGATGTATACTTGATCCCATAAACCTTGACATGCTGTGAAGGTACCATCCATGTAAAGGGTGTCAGCTTCCTGGCGTGCTTGTATCTGTTCTGCAGTGGAGAACGCCAGGATCTTGTCATCGTCGCCGTCGCTGAACAGTAGAAAGGGACGTCCATCTGTTGTCTCTGACCATTTGTCTTCAATGTCTACTGCTGACCGCGACCTGGGTAACGCTCGAATGTAACGCCTGAACAAGAGCAAAGGAACAGTTACACACATGTTACATGAAATATTGATAATGATTTCATTAACTTGAAATGTTTAAGAGCGAAACAAGTTATGTGGGACCTAAAAAAAGAGTAAATTCTAACCAAGTCAAAAATACGGGATGATATTTACCTGTAAAGTGCACCTTTCACGCTCTGAAATGACGGCATCGCTGGCATGTTGGCTTCATCTACATGTACTTGAGCGACTTGCTCCTCGTACAATGCCTGCATCTGTGTGGTTTCTTCTCGCGCTCTTTTACGAAGATTGCAGACAAAGTTCACTCTGGTTTCATCTTCAGGCGGATGGTTATGTTCCGACTGATTGCAAAGAAAGTCACCGACAGTCGTACATTTACCATTGCACGTCTTGACGACACATCTCCAATGTGTGCAGGTTTGCCTCTCGCGGTTTCTGTTGTAAATATATCCATCTAATATCAACTGCTCACTTCCGAGCCGAGAGGTGAGGTACTCTACTTACCTTTAACCAACCATATCGATACTGATAATGATACGTACCCCAAGATCATTTTTATTTGTTTGATGAGTAGATAATCTAAACTCGACTCCTTCAACTAATCATACAGTAAGACAATTCAGCTACTCCATAGTTTACATAGGAAATCTCATGCCTATTGAACCTGTGCTGAGAGTAAGGTAATTTAGGTTAATTAAACGAAATTATAACATATATTACTCCCTAAACTGTGAGTCCCCTATCCCTACCCAGTACTTTAATCTAATTAGGACCGATCCATTACACCTGTAGGTATATTCCCTCTTTGCCCGAATAAACATGTCTAACAATTGGGACGTCTAACTAATGGGACGTCTAACTATTGGGATATAACCTGCGAAACTATTTGCTCCTTTTATGGGACCGATTAGTTTTATGACCATGGGCCTCGGCACAAGCGTGGTGTTGGAAGACAAGTTATACATGTACATCCGATATGGTGACTGTTTTTCGCTATTCATATTCTAAATACATTCATAATACCACAACATTTTAGTACTCCTTGAAACTTTACAATCACTTCAATATGTACAATAGATTGAACGAGAACACTTGATATATTGCAGATTATTAAATCATTGTCTCTATTATCAGCCGCTACGTTTGTATCGTTTGCATTGTACAAAGAAATATTTTATCTGTCCTTTTGCAGATTTAGCCTCAGAATGTGCTCATTCGAATTAGGAACGAAAATAATTGCTTATCATGAGTATATATGATACAGTTAAAAGTTACTTGTACACTGTAGACGTATTCACTTTAAAGTCGCATACGACCTTCGCGAGCGAGTTGAATGATCCAGGTTAATTGGAACGAAGTCTAGAGAGGGTTATACAGTTTTGTATTTGGTAATGTGTAGGTTTGTTAAATATCATTTTTTTCATTCCTTTTATTTCAATATGTAAAAACATAACTATGCGCTTAAAAACAGAGCTGACTTGATGGGAGATAGCCACCTCAGATTGTCTGTTGGACACGGTTTAACCTTACTGTGTCCTCACCCTGGTTGTTGTTACCGTTGTTATAAGGGATTAAGAGCTACGGCTCATTGCATTTTTGGTTACAGTCTGTATCACTAAAGTGGACATGTGCAGGTGAACTCTGTTCAATTAGTATATGAAATGCCCCAAAATGTGAACTCCAGACAATAATAACCTGAGGGTAAATCCACGTGCGTCTGCCTTTCCCCTCGTTCACCTTCGAAATCCTTGATTATTATATCATGCCAGAGTTCTGAAATTCAGTGACAATGTTGCTGAACAATAGAATCTGATGGACGTTTTGTGCAGAACCTGTTTGACACTATGGGTTCCAGGACCACTAACACTCTGAGCTGAAAAAGTTTGGTCCTAACCGCACCCAACATCTACAAGTAATTAACAGTCCCATGCTGAGACCTTTCTCAAAATTCAGACCGGTGGCAGGTTGCCAACAAAGAGAAGAAAATATCGCAACCCCGACACGAGTGTGCTCAGTCAAACAATGAACTTACGACCGGCAGAAAACAACTCCAGTTGAGTATGCCGATGCTGTATCTCAGCAGTGTTGGCCTGAAAATTTAAACATGCTAATTAAATCCAAAATCGTATAATTATTTTTAATAGAAACCGTATCTTAATTTGTTCTTGCACTGCATCATATCGTGTATTTCATCTGTATATGTGTAATGTGTATATGTATCAATGACTACACTTATACCGCATATTCTGCAACAGACTATAATTAATCACCTTATTATTGTCTCTCCATTTACCATGGCTGACTGCACTAATACCCTTTTAACAGTGGACACCGATATCAGTATACATGTAGGCTTTTTGTTCAAAAAGGAATATGCAGGAAATTATATGTAACAATTAACTGTGTACTAATTACATGTTTGAATGTTATCAGTTTTACGTTCTGAGATACAGTGATGTAAGCATCTTCTAAAATCTTCTAAAAATATAATAAAATACAAAACTCTCTGCCGTAATTTTTTGTGGAAATCATTCGATCAAGTAAAAAATGACTGCGTGACAAGACGAATCAACTATTTATACCCGATAAAAGAAACTGCCGTATTTTAGGAACAGTGCTATAACAAGACATTTGAAATTTCTAACAAGCAGATACATTAGAGACAGTGACTAGACTACAGGTACGTAATCCGTATCAATCAAAGGTGTAAAAAAACTGAAAATCATATCTGTCGGAGACCTACCAAATTACCAAGTTTTATCATTACTATATTTATTACAATGCAAATACTTTAGTGATACATTTTTTAGAGGAGAGGGCATACACACAAGTATATTGCTTCCGTGTGTGAATGCAGGTCGTACTTGGTATCTCAGTTCTCAGTTTCATACCGGTTGTATAACTGAATTTGTATATGGAACCATGCGTACAGCATGACAATTACTTGCTATTCGTCAGTTTACAACACACATAACACGGTCAAAAATTTTAGGCACCGCTTTTGCGAGTTATGTAGTACAGTAATGTTTTATTAAAATCTATTTCAATTTGTTTTCACCATTTTCCCTATTGACAGTCGTTGTTACGTGCGTCACTAGGTAATTAGTACGGATTGACCTTGTTTATTGTTTCTATACTTTGAGGATTTCTGTGACAACTGGCGGACGTAATTCAAACTCCTTCCGCACTGACACCGCATCAAATATATTTGTGTACCGATTACATAACTCTAATGGACAGGGTGGGGTGGTAGTTCACCGGACGACACTGTGTATATTGGGCGGCTCCTTTGATATCTCCTCCAAACATACGTTTATTGAATGACCCCCTTAAACGATAATACACATCTCGATGAATATATCAAGGCACTAATTCATCTTTCATAAACATTTTTTTGTCTTTATGCTTAATATATCCACATATCAACGAACATTTGTAAAACATGTATCCTAAAAAAAATAAACATTTTCAGGCTAGGTATTTGCCCACAGCAACACCTGCATAACTGTTTATTCACGCGTGGTGTGGTAGATCGTAATTGACCGAGAGCAGGTATTGTAGAATCACCTGTAAATAAGGCCGACACTGTAATTAGATACAACGTACTAATGAGAATTATCATAAGGAGGCTGTTGTTTTTTCTGAACTGTTACCATTTTCATACCAAAAGTGACAATGCAGTTAAAAGTTGCTTTAGTGTCACAATATTCATTCACGTTTTCCTCAATCGCATTGAAACATAATTCCCACTGGTCAGTTCGAAACCGCATGTAATTAAATAATTATTTCGAGATTTCGTTAGAATGTAAGATATTCAGCCAAACGTTATGCAATAAAAGACGAATAGTTTTTTTCATTAAAATACGCGCACGCGTACCTGTATATTGCATACCTGGTGTCACGTAATTGCCCAGTGTGATGTATCAACGGGACATTAAATGGGAAATGAAATAGAAACTAACTAAAATTTAATGTTGTGGAAAATAACTCCAATGAATTGGAGTACACGCACATGAATTCGTATGATAAACTGTCAAAACGTTTTGAGAGGTAAGGCCGGGTTCATTAAAGATCGCTACAATATGTAAAACAGGTGAAATTTGTAGAACTAAAGGAAACATCCAACCAAATGCCCTTTTTAAATAGTAATGTAATGATATAATATAAAGTATATTTCACATGATACAATATACTTTGCAAACAGTTAGTTGATGCTTGAAAGGGACTGACGTAAACATGGACGAAATATTTTAATAACGCCGTAAAATAGTTGAATTAAGTAAAAATTAGTTAAATTTTTGTGTCATGATACTTGAATAAATACATGTAATGTATTTGCGAAAAAAAACAAGAGTTTTGAGTAAAGGAACATATACTCGCCCATGGGCCAAACCCTTTTTCTCGCCCATGGGCGAAATATTTCAATATCGCTATAAAATCGTTGAATTAAGTTAAAATGAGTTTAATTTTGTGTCATGATACTTCAATGAATACATTTAATGTATTTGATTTGCGAAACAAAATCATGAGTTTTAAGTAAAGGAACATATACTCGCCCATGGGCCAAACCTTTTTCTCGCCCATGGGCGAAATATTTCAATATCGCTATAAAATCGTTGAATTAAGTTAAAATGAGTTAAATTTTGTGTCATGATACTTGAATGAATACATTAAATGTATTTGCGAATCAAAAACATGAGTTTTAAGTAAAGGAACATATTCTCGCCCATGGGCCAAACCTTTTTCTCGCCCATGGGCGAAATATTTCAATATCGCTATAAAATCGTTGAATTAAGTTAAAATGAATTACATTTTGTGTCATGATACTTGAATGAATACATTAAATGTATTTGCGAAACAAAAACATGATATTTAAGTAAAGGAACATATTCTCGCCCATGGGCCTACCCATGGGCCAGACTTCGCCCATGGGCAGGCCCATGGGCCAAACTTCGCCCATGGGCAGGCCCATGGGCGACATAGTCTAAATATTGAGTTTTTAAACAATTTTTTTTTCATTTTTTCTTCCTTGGTATGTTCCCATGAAAACGGCATGTTTAATTTTGTAAATACCTTTAACCGAGACTGGGCAAAGAGCGTAGAGTTTCTGGACTTTTGGGTTTCCAGAATTAAAATGGGACGTGTTATACTCAAAGTATAGATAAAGAAAGCCTACAGACACGAAGCGGCTAGCTATTGGCAAGTTTCTTTTAAGGGGGTGGTGTGTGTGTGTGTGTGTTGCACGGGTGGCCCAGTCCCGTCTAAGGCACCGCGGTTCGTTTTGCAGAGTTGCGTCCCTTATGTCTCTAGGTTTGTCAGCACCTTACCCGTGCTCGCTCGTGGGTTTCACCGTAGTGGTAAACGTCTGAGACCTGCATCACTTCGGGTTTTCCTCCCACAGTAAGCTGACATGCCGTGATATAACTGGAAACTGTTAAAATCGGCGTTAAACCCAACTCACTCACTCATTTTAGACAGTAAAGGATGGGCAGAGACCATATACCGATATATGGTATATGGTCTCTGGAATGGAGTAGTCTAGTGGTTAAACCGTTCGCCCGTCACGCCGAGAGCTCTGGTTCAACATCAGACATGTTATAGTTATTAAA